GTTGTATTTTGGCTCTCGTGGACTTGTTTTCATTTTCTTCAGCTTCAGTTTGAATTTGCATATGAGTAATTGATGGTCTGTTCCACAGTCTGCCCCTGGCTCTACAATTTGAGGAACTTAACCTATACTTATGGGTGTAGTAGCTCAAAATACCAACCAAGAGGGAAGGAGATTTCACATCAAGGACCAAGCCTATCCCTTCTGTACACAAAATTGATGGTTGTTATTGTTAAGTGTTGTCGAGTTGATTCTGACCCATAGCAACCCTGTAGAGGGTTTCCAAGAAGCAGCTGGTGAGCTTGAACCACCGACTTTGCAGTCTGACGCATTAGCCCACAGCACCACACACAGGATTCATAGGGATGGGCAACTTAGACATTGGCTACCTAAAATGGGGAGAGAGGGTGTTTTTATTAAAAGCACGAAGTGTCTGGCACAGAAGTTTTCTAGAGGGAGTGTAGTTTCAGAGTGAGTGGGAAAGGTAGAATCCCCACTGAATAGTTTAATTTTGTCTAGATGGTTCTAGTGAAAGGAGTTGGGGATAGGATTCTTTTGATTTAATAGTGAGTAATGGTTAACATGACATTACAATTGTCGCAACTATAAAGGTAGAAGTTGTATAACAAAAAGGTGGGTGGTAGTTAATCTTACATTCAAGAAACAGAGAAGCCTAGGTCTATCAAGGGAAAAGAGCATGACCCTACCCAGAAAAGCGGCAACACTAGAGATGGAGGCAGAGGTGATGGCATGGAGAGAGAGAGCAGCTGAGGACTCTAGACTGATGGAAAGAGAAAGGCTGTGTGCTGGCAGCCAGGAGGACATGTCTTTTGGTTGTTTAAACAATTATATATTCCTGCGTGTTTTTGTGTACATCAAAAAACAAATCCAGAGGGAATGGAAGCAATTGCTGTTTACCTATGATGGATGCATAGAGGGAGGGGGATTGTGATCATTTCAGTGCAACAAAGTACGATAGGTTGTGTGTAAAACCAATGTTCTCTCATATAAACTATCACTCAATTTACAATAAAACCTTTTTAAAACTTAAAAAAAAAAAAGCATTTGGCTTCTTGAGCAGAAATTCTTAGGAATGGAGCAGGAAGTTAACTTTATAGTTAACTCCTCAACTTGCTTATTTCTTCCAAGTCTGTGGTGACGTCTTTCAGACACACCAGAGGATTCTACCTTTCCCAGTCACTCTGAAACTAAACTCCCTCTACTGAACTCCTGTACCCTATTATTAGGAACAGATTTATGTGCCTTTGTTTAAATACAGAGATTGTTTTATTAAGTTCACCAGAAACATATGTTTGAAGCTATAAGTTATATTTTACAGTATCAGTGCTGTGTTGTTAGGTTCACACACCTTCATCTGAGGCTGTTTCTTAGCGTTCAGTGATTGGGTGCTAGCATGATATGTTGTATTTCACTGGAAAGTATTCATTTAAAAGTTTTTTTAAACATTATTCAATTTTTAAAAACATATATTTACATTTAATTCTCACAGCATTCCTTTATGATAATGATCCTCTTTGAACAGATGAGTTTCAGGGATTTGGGTGATTGAAAGGAAAACATAACAGACCTGGAGTTTCTGGTCTCTAATCTACTAATTTCTGTGGGCCTTTGGCTGCAGATCCCACTGGACTTTGCTCTCTCTCCTACCTTACTTTAGCTTAACTGCTATAACAGTGGTATGTCTTTTGGTAAATATACAAGTACCTTTCAGATTTTATTGGTTCAAAAAATAACAACAAATTATTCCAAAATTGCCTTAAAAGAATGGCCTTAGTTGAATATGACTATATCATTAAATTACTCCACTTTGATTAGTACTGTCTTTTTGATCATAGTGATGGAACCATTAGTCTTTATCCTCATTTCATAATTATTTCTAGAATGTTTGCCTATTGACCCTAAAATTTACCAACAGATTGTTTTAGTGTGCTTTATAATTGTAGGCTTTCAATATATATTTTGAGAAATGCTCTTTTTCTGGACTTCAAAATTCTCTTTCACCCTGACCCTTCCTTGGAAGCATAAATGTTTTCTCCTCTTTCCAAAGGTGGATTTCATTGACTGGGTAGATAACATGTGGCCACGGCATTTGAAGGAAAGTCAGACAGAATCAACCAATGCCATTCTGGAGATGCAGTACCCGAAGGTGCAGAAGTAAGTGACTCCTTGGCGTCCTCAAGATACCATGGGGGAGCACCCTGTGGAGTGATAGCAAGGAGCCTCGCTCCATGTCCTGAGTAATCACAAAGATGATTCCTTGAACGAGTAGGCTTTACACTTCCCAAGGCAAGAGTGTTATGAGAACACCAAGCGAATGATCACCAAAATTTGTCCTTCGGGCACTGTTGTTGTTGTTAGTTCCAAGTCACAGGGACCCTGTATAGGGTTTCCAAGGAGCTGCTGGTGGATTTGAACCACCAACCTTGTGGTTCAAATTGACCTTGTGATCCAGTGCTTATCCAGTGCCACACCAGGACTCCTCTGGCACTGTGATGACAAGAAATTGTACTCCTGTAACACTGGCAGTTTACTGGGGGGCACAGGAGAGAGGGTGGCATTGTGGTGGGGCAGAACCTCTTTTTCGCACCAGTGCACTAACACTGCTGCTCTCTTTCGGTCAGGTACTGTCTAATGAGTGTTCGAGGCTGCTATACTGACTTCCACGTGGACTTTGGTGGTACCTCTGTTTGGTACCACATCCATCAAGGAGGAAAGGTACGGTCATAGTTGGGATGGGGGCTGGACTCGAAAGCTGGTTATCTGACTTGGCTTCAGTTATGCATACTTACTAAATGCACCCTGAAAATGAATCTCTTAAGAAACTGCCCTAATTGTAGACTAAACTACACACTTCCTTGCTAGAATTTAGTTGTTGTTTTTCAGTGTCGTCGCTTGGTTATATTCATAGCGACGCTGTATAGGGTTTCTGAGGAGTGGCAGTGGAATTGAGCTGCCAACCTTGCATTTAGCAATCCAGTACTTACTCTGCAGCAGCACACCAGAATTCCTAGAGTTCAGTAGGACTCAGTATTCATCTAGTCCGCCTACTATTGTGGCACCAGTATTGACGAAGCACTTATTAAACCTCAGCAGTCCTGTGTCTAGATTTCCCTAAACTGAGATCTCCACATGAACCCAAGGAACTGGTATTCATTTAAAAGTTTAAAACTCTTAGAGATCAGAAACTCCAGGTCTGTTATGTTTCCTCTCAATCACCTAAGTCCCTGAAACTCATCTGTTCAATGAGGATCATTATCATAAAGGAATGCTGTGAGAATTAAATGTAAATAGATGTTTTCAAAAATTGAATAATGTTATCAGAACCTGGGAAACTTTTAAATGAATAAAACTGTCTTCTAAGGAAAAAAATGTAACTTTTCTGCATGGAAATACAGATTCTGGATAGATTCAAATGAGGATCCAAACCACCTTTGCCTTCACGGAGGCATTGGTCTGAAACGCAGCCACAGGGACCCTTTCTGTCTTCTCTGAGGGTGTCAGTAAATTTCGACATACTGTCCTCAGCCATAATAAATGTCAGAATGTTTCTGCGTGCTGTGTGAAAATGGAAGTCTAGAATTCGTATCAGGGGCTTATAGTATTTTGCTGTTATCTTTTCTTCCCTTACTAAAAGTAAATGCATCTGTATGCATTAGACCTTGAGAGAAAGTAGAAACTGAATGAAAATAGATGATGCATTTAGAATGGAAGGTCCTAATCAAGTACAGCTGTACCTTTGAACACAAAAGTCATTCCAAACTTCTTAAAGTTTTGTCTTACTGGTCTCTATTACTAGCTTGGAGTCCTGGTGTGGCTCTGTGTGTTAATGCACCAGACTGCAAAGCCGTTTGAATTGCAAGGTCAGTGGTTCAAGCTCACCAGCTGCTCCTTGGAAACCCTATACAGGGTTGCTATGGGTCGGCACCAGCTCGACAGCACTTCACAATAACAACAACAATTAGCTTAGAACAGAGCAACTTAGGACAGTCTCTTGAAGATACTATGTTATTGTTAAGTTACAGGGTTTCTGAGGAGTGAGGTGGATTTGAACTGCTGACGTTGAGGTTCAAATCTACCTTATGGTCCAGTGTTTACCCTACAGCGCCACATCAGGAATATACTATACTGCACTCTTAGTGGGACTAGAAAAGCCAGGTAGCTAGGGGCATATAAGGGACTGCCTAGATAACAAGCCAAGTGACTCTCTGTTCCCTGAATACTGGATGGGTTCTGGGTTCTGCAGTCAAACCCCAGGGAAGCCCTGATACTGTTTGATCAAGTAGATGGCAAGAAATGCCTGCTTCTTTGGACCCGGAAGAGTTTCTCAAGTAGTCAAGATCTGTAGTCTGTGAGAATTGTCTCTGTCTTTTCTATCCAGATAGAAGAAGGTGTTCTTAACTTTGCCTTATGATTAGTTAAAGATGACGACTGGGTCATGTCAATGGCTGTTAACAGACTGAAGTTTTTTAACACACAGGTCTTCTGGCTCATCCCCCCTACAGCCCACAACCTGGAGCTGTACGAGAATTGGCTGCTGTCAGGGAAACAGGGAGACATCTTTCTGGGTGACCGGGTATCAGATTGCCAGCGCATTGAGCTCAAGCAGGGCTATACCTTCGTCATTCCCTCAGGTAAGCAGGATGGAGAAAGTGGTTGTCTTCTCTAGCCCCACTGTCTTACCTTAAACTTGAAGGAAAAAGGAATTGGTAGATTAACACCAAGAATGGTGGTAATGCTAGGGTGGACAGAACAGTGGTGTTCGCCCCTGACTTATGGAGTAGATGGTAAGAACTTATTTAAAAAACAAAAGACGGTGATTTTCCATTGAAGGTGTACATCAGAATTGCTAGTGGATACTTTTCAAATCTTCATATTTAGACCCCACATTAGCCCTAGTAATTTAGAATTGCTAGGGAATGGACCAGTTCTACAGTTGAAGACCCACCTGTTCTTCGTAGACAGAGGGGGTGAAGGCTCACCTCCAGGATCAGTAGTATCCACCATCAGATCACTGGTAGCAAAAAGAAGCTCTAGAAAAAGCACAGATTCTGGAGTCACAGACCTGTATGAGAATTCTGATTGTTCACTGATACAGACCATGGGAGGCAAATATCTGCATCTTCTTTAGTCATGAGGAGAAAATGAGAATATGTGTGAACTGTCTGGCACAGAGCTTGGTATGTGTTCCAATTAATGGTAGCAGCATTTGTTAAAGGTTATTGTGTGCCAAGCACTCTGCACGCGTTTTCTCATTTAATGCTCACTAACAACCACCGTTAAGGAGCTCTGGTAGCATAGTGGTTATGAATCGGGCTGCTAACTTCAAGGTCGGCAGTTCGAAACTACCAGTGGTTCCGCGGGAGAAAGATGAAGCGTTCTGCTCCTGTAAAGATTTACAGCCTCAGAAACCCTGTGTAGGGTCACTATGAGTCGGAACCGACTCCACGATCCTTAACAACAACTACAACAACAACCAACATTAGGTATCTTTTATCTTGGGTTAATGAGAGAATTGAGGCTTCTAGAGATTTAAGTAATGTGACCAACCACTAAGAATAGTTAGAATCAGAAGAGAGTGTGGTCTAGGAGTCTGGTACTGGTTTTCTGAAACAACCTTGTTAAAACATGGACTTTCAACTGCTGCTCTACATTCCATTTCTTCTAGGATGGATTCATGCTGTGTATACTCCTACAGATACGTTAGTGTTTGGAGGCAATTTTTTGCATAGCTTCAATATCCCGATGCAATTAAAAATATACAACATTGAAGATCGAACGCGGGTACGTAGTTCTGTGTTGCAATTGGATTTGAAAAGGTTTACACCATTTAAGACACATATTAAAGAATCCACTGATAGTTCGTTAAAATTTCAATTTTTTCAGGATTAAAATGCAACTTCACATTTTTGGAACACTGAGAACATTTTTAAATTAAGTTCTTTGAGGTTCTCAGTAATCCCTTGAACCCTGATTTTCATTAGAATAATTTGATGTAATTGGATTTATCAACTCAAGTTTTCACAGCTTTAAAATCCTTTATCTTTCTTTATTCTGATTACTGTCTGACACTTGAGTGGTCTTAATTATATATATATGTATATAATGTGTGTGTGTGTGTGTGTGTATATGTATATATATAAAATGTATATATGCCTTTCTCAAATGGGATTCCATGAGGAAAAGCATGTCCTACAGGAAATGATGTGCTTGTCTTATTTTCCCAGTTTTCCCAAGGATATGGTATATACTTTGTTGTTGTTAAGTGCCATCGAGTCAATTCCGACCCATAGCAAACCCTGTATAGGGTTTCCAAGGAGCAGCTGGTGAGCTGAACCACTGACCTTGCAGTTCAAACGACTTTGCAGTCTGACGCATTAGCCCACAGTGCCACACCAGGACTGCTATAGTATA